ATTTTTGTAACTAATGCATTGAAAACTCTTTTTTAATTATAAATTAAGTCAATCTGTTCTTAAGATATTATGCTGTAAGGCGCCGCCTCACTTGCCTCATCTGACGAGCCGCCACTGCATTGCATTAATAGTTTTTAGATTTGCTTAAACAGGTGACTCAAAAAACTAATGAATGAGTCGATTTATTTTATTGATTAAATCACTACTGCAAAATTTGATGAGTTTTTACTTGTGACCTATCACTGTATTCATATTTTTGAGATCGGTAGCTCTAGTCATTTAATTCTCACGAATGATATACAAATTTGCAGCTTCTCCAAAGAGAATTCATTTTTGAAAACTATTGTAGAGTGCAAATTTGTTAATGGGGATCTCAAAAACTGGATTAGTCGGATTTACTTCATCGGTCAAATGAACAAAACTGGCTATTATTAAAGTCGTACTTCGAGGCATGCTTTTAAAACACTTGTTATCAGTATAAGAAGATCTTAGAAGTCTCTCCAATCGACTCTCAACCAACGTTAAAAATGCACGTATTGCTTATGTAGAAGAATATTGCAGATCAGTAAGACGCTAAAAGTTTTTACAAACATATTCACAATCAAAGACTTGTATTATTATCTAGACCTGTCACCACCCTGTGGTTGAAAACTGAAAATAGAGTGTGTAATCAGTGATTGTCCTAAATAGTGTGGTTGATATTTTTGCACAAACTTTCTGCAGTGTATTTACGGTTCCTCCGAACAACTTGATTCCCAAGTAAATTGACCCTAGTCACAATGCTTATCTTAACAGAGCAGTGTTGAAACGGCTGTTTGCGTTAAGTTGAAGAAGTGAAAATGTACCAGTTCGCCTAGTTCAGAGAAAACTGATGCTTCGGTTTTGCTAAACTGTGCTGATTCCTTTTCCAAACTTCTGAGTTTGCTGATGATGCAGTCCTTTTCCCATGGGATTTTACCGTTTGACTGGAAGGTAGCCACAGTTCGCCATATCTTTAAAAAAGGTGACTTCATCGGATGTCAAGATCGTGGAATCAATTTATGAGTCAGTCCATAAGAAATCTAAATTGAGATCTTTGTTTGCTATGTACGGTGATGGTATACAACTCGAAAGATAACTGAATGAAAGTATCTCAAAATCTCTTGGAGGTGTGAAAGTGACCACTCTCAATGTACAGTTCTGTGTATTGGGAACACCAGTATACAGACATATTTATTCGGCAGCTGGTGCAGACTTTTGTAAATCTGATTCCAATGTTCTTAAGAATACTTATTACAGTTTCTTTGTCTAAACATATTTTGAGTACTACTAGAAAGGCCAACGAAGTGGTGTATTTGTTAGGTAAAGTTTTCGCCAGAACGCATATATATCTTGAGCAATCTCTAAAAGAGTTATGTAATCTCAACGCTAATTTTCTAATTAAATATCTTACTTTAGATTCTTCACTGAGTTATGAAGTTGGAGTCATAAAAAGAAGGGCTAAGAGAATTTCATTCTGTTGAATTTGGCCACAGTACACTGACAGACTTCACAGTTTCTGAGCGACCTACTCGTAAAAGGATTTTTTGACTGAAACTACAAATTGTGGCCCCTGTAAGACCTCTCCCTCCAAATTCAACCCCGCAATACAGTCCAAGTACACGAGTTCAACTAGGTCGATTTTCACTATCACAAATAGTAATGAATTATGTCCTGCAATATAGGTCAGAATTTTAAGTTGGCTACCAGAAGGTCCCACAAAAGTTTGGTTCATTAATTTGCATGTATTTATATGTATTTAATTTAACTCTCTCATTTTTATGGACTAAGTATCTTAGGCCATGGTCTAAAGCCCCCACCCATTGTAGAGCTGATTTTACTTAAAAAAACAAAAAAAGGTATACCTTGATGATGATGGCGCCATCGCCTGACTTCACGCTCACTGAACCCACGCCCAGAGCTCGTGGGCCGAGATCGCCGTCTCCTGTGTATAAGTCGCAAATTTCAGGATGTTGCCTTGAAATAAAAAAGGATGCCATTTTGGGTGCTGATTAAATTTCAACCGGTGACTGTTCCGCTAAGCATCAAAGAAAAGGAGGTTTCCTCTTTCTACTCTTTTTCCCCGCGACCGTAGTCCAGTTTCAATTTCCACTTTTCTGCAGAAAGTTTGCAGGATGTTTATTTCTTGCATTCTTAAACTTTTTTTTATTTTTTCTATTTTCGTCGTTCATTGGATTCGTTTGTTTTTTTTTTCTCGGGTAACAGTGGATTTGATGGTGGTTGGTGGATCCTCTGACCAAAGAAACTCACCGGTTTGTCTCTTTTTTCTTCAACTAATTCAAGGGTTAGTCGATTAGCTAACGTCTCTATATGTTTATTTACTAACTTGATCGTTACTTACAATTCTGCGATAAGAAGATCTTTTTGTTTTAGTATATAGGAAAATAAATTTTCAGCGAGGGCAAAGGATATTTTATCGCAGTGCGTCGTTACCCTCCCGGGTCGCCGCGCCGTCTTCGCGAGATTTCCAGGTTCAAGGTCGCCCCCCCCAGAGTCAGGAGGAGCCCGACCTGAAGGAAGTCGCCGCCCAGGAGGAACGACCGTGCCGGGCATTTAATTCTTTTTGTTTGTAAAACCGATTTGTTAGTTATTTAAGTTGTTTAGCCGTAAGTTTTATTATTTTAGACCGTGTAGCTGGTGGCAGGGAATAAACCCTATTTTGTTATAAAATATTGTCGCCGTTTTATTTCTTATTCTCGAGTTTTCGCGGCGGCTCACTACCTGAATTCCGTGTCTCCGGCTTTAGAGCACCCCGAGCGACCGCCGCTCCTGACGGAAGGCGCCACCCCCGCCGGCGTGAAGGTAGCCGCATAAGCTTGGTCGACCAGACGTGCTTCTGACATCAGCGATACTAGTCGACCCAAAGCTTGGCACCCAAGTACGCCGCCACCCCATACGTTATCGGCGAGATTCCGGACCGTCACCGGACCGTCCGTCCCATCCGGAATTTCGTCGATTTTTTCGCGGTTCTTAAATACTTCCTCCTTCAGTATATTTTTTGGTACAATTATAAGTTTCCTGAAAATAGGTGTATTATTATGAGTTTCTTTAATAAAACAATTTTTGTCAATTCAATTTTATTATAATTATATGTTCCTAGCTTATGTCCTAGGCCTGAATTATATGCCATCAAGAACCCTACTGTTCATTCTATCTACAGTTTCGCAGATCTTAAAATATCTTGAAAATGAATTCAGGGCCTGATGTAACGGTCAATTTAGGGGTTGCTCTATGAGCATTTTCATTAATTTCTCTAACAGCGATACTTATGGCTTGGCCGTCATTTCTTAAAAGAAAAATTCCAATGGGAGTTAAAAAAGAACGCAAGTTTGCCTTGTTAACATCTAGAACTATGGAAGATTATTGAGGAGTTTGTGAAAGATTTACAGTTGAAATTGGATGATTTGAGTGTCCTTTTGTCAGGCCGAAATCCTGTTCAAAAAAAATTATAAGGAGTAGATTCATATTCTAATCCTAATGATAATGAGACATTATCCGAATAGATATTTGTTTTTAATTACTATCTAAGAAAGAAAATGTAATGTTAATAAGTATATATTTGTTCTATAATAAAAAGTAAAAATGAAACAGAAATAGATTTCTAGTAAACGCTTTGGGTGACATACAGATGTACAACTGAATTGGAAATTTGGAAAAAGTAATAGTGTAATAAGTTCCAAGTCTACCATATTTAATGTGAGTCTCAAGAGTCAACATTTTGAGAAATCCATATCCAATGTTCAGAACATTTGAGTCCTCTGTACTGGACAGAGATAGTTAGATATTGATCGTGGAATGACTCAGTTATAATTGTTTTATAAATGACGTAAAGTTTTAAAACCTGATGAAAATAAAAAAAAGTTAAAAGTATCAAAAGTTAGTTAGCTTTCACATTGCATGAAAATATAAGTTTCTGTACATAATTCTACGTTAAAAGCAACAGGTTGCTTCCACCATCCAAAAATTCCTCTAAGCATAAAGACGCAAACATGGTCTGCAATTTTTTCCGTCCTTGTTGTACCGTCATCTTCAAAACCCACAACTCTGTCCTCACAAGGCAAGTAGTCAAGGTGAGGCTGTATGGACATCTTATCGAAGATGAGAGTACACAGATTGTACTTGGGGTCCATTTTGCGACGTACTTGCTTTCCGAGAACTTCGAATATGGGTTTGTTGATACCCGGTTCTATTGGAACTCTATTTAGGGTTGCCCTCAGAGTGTCAATAGACGGCAACGTAAACATTTTAGACAGAAGTTTGTACGTCTTCGGGCCATGTTTCCATATGGCAATGGCGTCTGCCTTTTCCTCAAACGTAAAACTCCTGCCTTTTGGTTTACGATTTACGTTCCTAATCTGATTTTCGAAAAACCGCTGCTGAACAGGAGTCAACCCTTCTACGAGATCAACCAATCGTTGATCCCGAACAAATTTCCTTGCGGACTGTAGGTCATGTCTCCGCTTTTCAGCCTGCTTTTGCAAGCGGCCTACTTGTTTTTGCAGGCGTTTTGCTTCTCTGTAGAGTTTTACTTCGTTAGACGTAAAATTGGTCGTTGTCCGTTGTTTTACGCCTATGCGCTCCAAAATTTTACCTGCAAATGTACACAGGTATTAATTAATTGCATCATTTTTACTTTATGTACAGTTCTGTTCAATGAAAATTATGTTACATGCAGTTATAAGTTTCTTTAATATCTTTAAACAAATTATGCTTATCGTTATTAGCTCAAAATTAGAGACACAATCAAAAATTATTAGTAAACTAACATAAGAGTTTTCATTGAATTAAAATAACGTGGAGTCGTTGTAGTTCTCAGAGGAACATCCCGGGTCTGTCTAAGTGGGGTACTTCTGCTTCCAACAAAATCTAAAAATAAGTAATAAATATTTGTTATTGAGACTAATAATATTTTATTTTCACTATTTTTAAATTCACAAAAATATTTAAAATCACACGGTGAAAAAAAATACTCCTAACGTATATCAATATACCTTAAGTTACGCCACTGCTTTTTCACCTATTTGACACATGACATATGCGTGACATATGGTTGGTAGAAACGCGAGATGACGCTATGCTGTACCACAGATTGTTTTATAAACACGTGATAAAGTTTAACAATCTACCACATTTTTATATGTTGTAATCGTTTGAAAATTTGTTTTTGGAATTACGAAATTATGGTATCAAACTTTGCAGTTTCTTACCGATTTTTGAATTACTTTGTAGCCCTGAAGGTCCAGCGCAAGGTAGCTCATTGACCCCATTCTCCTCTGTAAGTCATAATATTATTTTTTTGCCATTTATTTTTTAGCATTATAATACCTCCAAAATTCAGTTGTCGGGCTTGAATGCCACTATTCCATATATTTCTACGCTCCGGTGTAGTAGTTGAACCTATAAAATGGAAAACAATTCATGTTATAGTAAAACACTTGTAATATTTACATACTTTGAGAATGTGGGGTTCGTCAAATACGTGGTGATAAATTCGCCATGGAGTGGAAATCAGGGCATTCTTTCCTTGGGGTCAGGAAGATGAGATCAGTTGTCTGGGGCACCACAGTGGACGCATCAATTTTACTTGCCTCCAGTGGTGATGTAAGTATAGTATCATCTGTAAGTACACATGTCTTAATATTTGTTTCGTAGTGACTTTCAATTTGTTTTTACCTCGAGGAGGCAAAATCGTTGGTACCGCAGATTGATGCAGCCTTTGTGTACCTTGCACATAGTCTTCAGCCCGAAAATGTTGGTAGCAAATGTACCCTCTCCGATAAATTTGGTTATTTGTTAAACCCTCGAATTTTGGGTTATTGGAGGCTTTAACCCATGCCATAAACCTATCTAGACCCCGTTTCGGATGTGGAAACCTAAATATAGGGGCCATCCTGTTCCCACATTTATAAATTGCACAAGTTTTGTGCGTTTTTTGTGCTTCCATTCTTTTTTCTACAAAAATTTGTTATAAATAAATAAATAATGCTATAAACAATGAACATAAAGTGAAAACATTTGTATACTTACATTTTTTTGTACACTACACAACACAACAGCTACAAAATGCACTTAGCAACACGATAAAAATAAAACTGTGGTGTTTCTTTGGTGGTGTGGGGGTGTTAGGGGAAAGTAGTGTCGTGTGCAGGGATGTGAATTCTAAAATTTTGAAAATCCGCGCGAATCAGCGTTTACAAGTTTCTTTTCATGCGACCTCTGGTGAGTGGGTAAGAAAATACGTAGTGAAAGGTACAAGCGCAGCCTATACCACATTAGCTTCTATTGTAGGGTTTTCTATGAGACAGACTCTTAGTCCATTCGAAATATACATTAAACTGAACAGTGGAACGGGTGGGGGTAGAAACATGGGGTTGGTACCTGTGATGTCTTGTTTGGGGTAGGTAATATTGTTAGTTTCTCTAATTACACGAGCTCATTTTTCTAACTTATATATTCTCTCAACTGTCATTCTCTATCTCTTTTTTAAGCTAGACATTACATTTCCTCCCTTACTGAAAATTAAAGAACACATACCAAATACAAAATAAAAGTTAAACTCAATAACTCATATGACGCACATGCCATTAGAGTTCTACAAGATAATCCCGGAGCTTCGACGGTGGTTTTCTGTCTCGCTGGGGACGTCGTTCAGTGGGCGTCTCGACTCGTTGATTTGGGGGACTGTTTACTTTGTCTTCCGTGTTGTCTTGTCTAAGGGGTGTCGTGGCTGGAGCTGTCGACCTTGGAGGTGTTGTGGGGAACGGTGCTCGCGTTTGTTCAGATTGGGAAGATCGACTGGGTGCCAAACTTGTTGAGGGGTGATACTCTGGCCTTGGACTCTGTGCTGAGTGGTGTGGCTTGAAGAATGATGAATTTCTGACAATCACCTTTTCTCCTCGTCGAGCTTCAATTTGAGAACCGGTGATTCTAGTGATCGTGTATGGATCTGGATCAAAGAGTGGAGTCAGCGAATTCTTCTTTTGTTGTTTGCAAAGAACTTTTTGTCCAAGTTGTAAGCGATGTTCAAATGTCCTTCTTTTACGATTGGCGGGTTCGTTTTGTTTTCTTCTGTTGTCGATGTCCGTTTGGGGATTGTATTCATGAAACGTCTTGTTTTTGAGAGTGGGTAAGAAGTTGTTGATTTCTCTGTTGAACATAATTTGATATGGTGGGCAGTTTGTTGTTGAATGAGGGGTGCTTCGGTAATTGATTAAAAATTCTTGAATTTCTGCGTCTGGATTGTTACTGTTGATCGTTGCGCACAAGAGGGCTTTCTTGAACGTTTTCACGAATCTCTCAGTTCTGCCATTTGCTTCTGGCCAACGTGGTGTTATCAAATGATGCTTGATGTTGAGGCTTGAAAGATATTCTTTCAACTCGTGTCCATTAAAGGGTGGTCCATTATCGGATTTAAGTTCTTTTGGTAGGCCAAATAGTGCAAATGTCTCGTCAAGTACGGGCTTCAGCTGTTTGAAATTGGTCGATGGTACTTTTTTGACGAATGGAAACTTTGAGAAATCATCCACCATTATGAAATAATATTTTCCATCTGGAAATGGTCCGGCGTAATCTACATCTAGACATTCAAGCGGGTGAGTGGATGTCGGGTATGTTTGAATCGGATTTCGCTGGTTGTAGGGTGTTACTGCTTGACATGCTGTGCATGACTTCACTACTTCTTCTACCATTTTATTGATGTTGGGAAACCATACCTTAGTTCTTACCAGTTGTTTGGTTTTAACGAGACCTTGATGACCTTTATGTGCCAATCTGATAATGTTTTTCTGCAGTTTGCTGGGAATTACGATTTGACTGCCTTTGAGAATAATATTACCATATACAGTGAGCTCTTGTTTGATTTGCTTGAATGTTTGCAGTTCTCGTTTCTTCCAAAACAAGGAATCATCTTCTAACAAGGCCTTTTTCAGTAGCTGCAACTGAAAATCATCTTTCATTGCATTTTCGATTTCTTCAAGTGAAATTGTGTTTGGTAGTGAATGATTGGTTACAAAAGCTACGTATTCTTCACTTTTATCATATGCTTCTGGTGGGCTGTGTGTTGGATGACGAGATAAATAATCAGACGGATTTGTTATGCCTCTTTGGTATTGAACTGTAAATTTATAAGGCTGAAGTTTCAAACAAAGTCGTTCAATGCGTGAGTTTGGAGCTGATCGAGGGTTCTGTAGGATTGAGACCAAGGGTTTGTGGTCTGTGTGTAACACAAAGTGACCTCCTAACAGGTATATTCTGAAGTGATGTATGGCCCATGTTGCTGCTAATGTTTCTTTCTCTATTTGACTGTATTTCTGTTCGGTCAAAGTTAATGTTCTGCTAGCGTACGAAATAACTTCTGTTTTGTTATTAAGTTCTTGCGAAAGGATCGCTCCAAGTCCTATGGGACCAGCGTCTACATAGAGGTGCGTCTTTTTCTGTTGGTCAAAATAGGCGAGGTTTCGTGCTGATTCTAGTTGTTTCTTAAGATCATTAAAAGCGCTGTGATGCTTTTCAGTCCAGTCCCATTGAGCATCTTTTGTAATCAGCTCACGTAATATTGCAGTATTTGTTGCTAAGTGAGGCAGGAACTTTCCAACATAATTCAACGTTCCTAGGAAGCTTCTTAGTTCATGTACGTTTCTGGGCGGTTCTAGGTTAGAGACAGATTTGACTTTGTCTGGATCTGGGTAAATGCCTTTGCTAGAGAATACATATCCAAAGAAATCGATTTTGTTTGTGTTAAAAATGCATTTCTTTGTGTTGATTGTCAAATTATGGTTATCCAAACGTTCTATTACTTGCTTAAGAGTCTTATCATGGTCTTGTTGAGTTGTTCCAAAGATCAGTATATCATCGCTGATGTTTAACACACCATCTATTTGGTTTAACAGTTGTCTTATTGTGTTTTGAAAAATCTCTGCAGCGGAATTTATCCCAAAACTCAGTCGTTTATATTGATACAAACCAATATGTGTTGAGAAAACTGTTATATACCGTGAAGATTCTTCTAATGTTAGTTGGTGGTAGCCATCTTTCAAATCAATCTTTGAGAAGACTGTTGCGCCATTTAACTGGGCAAATATTTCTTCAATAGTTGGTGTTGGATGCCTTTCTCTAAGTATGGCTTTGTTAGCCTCTCTCATGTCTACACAAATTCTGATAGAGTTAGGATCGTGATGTTTAGGAACTACAACTATTGGTGAAACCCAGGGAGTTGGTCCTGTTGCTTTTTCAATGATGTTTTGTTTCATCAGTCTTGTTATCTCTTGTTCAACTGCTTCACGAAGATTTATTGGAATTCTCCTGTGTTTATTTGCTACTGGAGGAATTGACTCATCAATGTGTAGCTTGACAGTTTGGTTCTTGAGACAACCTATGCCATTACACAAATTAGGATGCTTGTTTTTGATATAGTTCATGTCCATAGGTTGATATATCATCATAGATAGTTGTACCAGCTGCAATTTGTTTGCTGTATCATAGCTCAATAATGATTCACTGTTGCCTTTTATCACAAATACATCTGCTCGCGTTTGGTGGTTGTTATAATGGAATAGACCTTTGAATTTTCCAACTACTTCTAACTGTTGTTGACAGTTGTACGGGAGAATCGATGAGGAATCTGGTTGTAGCGACTGCTGATGAAATTCTTTAAATGTGTTTGAGCTTATCAGATTAACAGATGAACCAGTATCTACAATGAAATTGATTACTTTCCCATTCAACTTAACATGTACCTGAGGGCATTTCATGGCTGTTCTGTCGTTTGGACGAATTGTTGTTTTGAAAGATGACTCAGAATTAGTTGACTCTGGCTCCATATGAAGCTCATTAAAGCGAATTTGTGCTCTGTTCTTCCTCTCTCCATTATGTTTCTTGTTTATGCTAGTATTTGTGCCATGGTTGTTGTGCTGGGGGTTTGCTCGTGATTGTGCTTGTTGCTGTTGTGTTGATGTGGTGGACATGCAGACTCGGGCGTAGTGTCCTTTCTTGCCACAACTTCGACAAATTACATTTAGAGCAGGACAAGCTCTCCTCCCATTTGGATGCCATTTGCCTCCACAATTTTTGCAATTGTTCTTACTGGTACCACTGTTGGCTGGTGCGGTTCTGTGTTGCGTTTGTTTGTTTACGTAGCTACATTCTTCTGTGCTTGTGTTCATGACATTCTTGTCTTCAATGACCTTCAGTTGATTAGCTGTGCACTCGATTGTACGTGCTCTGCTCAATAGATCATCGAGATTGGGTTGTTCAGTGAGTCCATATCGACGTAGTTCTGTGTACTTCGTGTTCATGATGATTTGAAATTTGATTTCTTCATTTGGGTTCTCAAACGTGCAAGTCTTGGATAGTTTCAGTAACTTTGCGTAAAACTGATCAATTGTTTCATTCTCGCTCTGTCTGGTTTGCCTAAAATTAAACATTTCAAATTCTTTGTTGACTCTAGGGGTGAAATATTGTTTGAGCTTTCGTTTAGCTGTTAAATAAGGTGATTCATTGGGTTGTGCTGTGTTTACTGGTAGTTCAGGAAGTGACAAATATAAATCATGAACTTCTTCGCCTGCGTAGTGGAGAAGCATGGCTTTCTTTCGGTCTTCATTATCGATGCCTGCTGCTATGAGATAGTTGTCAAAACGGTTGAGCCACTTTTCCCACCTTGAGCCAACGTTATTGGGGTCTTCTGCTATATGAAATGGAGGTACTGGTGTTGAGTGGTTGTCCATGTTCTGTTATCTTTTCCTCGATTCGTTTGTTGCGAACCACGTGTTGTGTTGAGGTTATGTGTTTCTCCTGTTCTCTGTTCCGAGTGTTCGTTGTTTTTCGCT